TCTCAGCCCCCCCCCCCCCTCTCCCATCCCTCATGCTGTTTTCTGAGCCCTTTAAAATATCTACCACTTTGAGTATACAGTATATGTTACCTTCTCAACTTCCTCTTAGGATGCTTTTCTCATGGACTGGAGCAAGGAATGCCAGGCCAAAACATAGCCAAAAATACTGTTTTTGGGGGCCTGGTGCAGCGATGGAGTGCATACAAGGCAGGAGCAGACTTCTGTGTGGGTGGCTACTTAAAAAGGAATAAAAGAAAAAAAAAATTATTCGATTACTATGTAATAGTAATCCTACTGTATTCCACTTCTAAAAGCACCACTCTGTTACTTCCACATCTAATAACCCCATTTGTGGATAGAATATGTCTGATGCTAGACATACACATGGCAAGTTTGACGGCATCCTTCAAAAAAAGATACATGGAATTGAATGCTCCAAAGGAATCATCATGCACACGTTCCCAGTATCGAGTGACCCCAGTGATTGAAGTATGGCTTTTCACTGGCATTGTAGTAGTTAAGGTTTCTATGATTAAAACGATGGGTAGAAGATAACTGTGAATCATTTAAATTACCATTATGTATAGCCTGAATAATGATTTGCACATACTTGGGTAGAGGTGGACAATTTCAAATGCCCTTTTATATGTGTAGAATTCAAGCATTACAAATGTTAAAGTAAAATAGACAGTCTACCAGCCTCAGTGTTAACCTGCTGTTAGTAGGCCTGTTAGTCTTTTTTTGTTTGCTGTGTTGCTCTACCCTCAGTTGGACTGCTTTTGGACGTCCCAGTTATCTTAATATTTCATCTGTCCCCTAAATGAGCGATTACCGCGAAAATCGCGCATATTCAATACGCCTAGGTGTGAACCCAGCCTAAGGGACACAGGTCCTACTCCTACTATTGTTTTTCCACTAACCTGGAGCATGATGGGAAGGATTATACTTAGCAGGAATACAGCTTTGTTTGCCATTGTCCAATCTCTTGTAAGCAGCATAATACCTTGATTGTCTAAGATTTCATCTGTCCTGTGTCCAGTAACGGACTCAAAGAAACAGATTTTAGAGTAAGTCCAAAATCCCATTTTTGCAATGAAACCATTGAAAGAGTAGATAGAAAATTAGTTCCAACAAGTTCCACACAAAACCCATCCGCTTAGCATAAAGGTAAAAAAAAAAAGATATAGGTACTGCCATTTATACAGTATAATGTCATAATACCCCTCCCAACTGACATTACTGTTTGCCAAAACACGTGATGGCTAGTATGTAGATTATTCTTCCAGCTTGGATTTCAAAAATAAATTGATCATATAGCAAAAATAGTTCAATCACTGGATCTGAGATGCAGTTTGTATTTTTTCCACATTATTAGTCTAGTACAGTCATGTCTAGCTAATGAAAATCCTTCATTTATCGGTACTGTACTCTGGAGACCAGAGCTTTCAGATCAGTTTGATGCAGGAGATCTGTGTTCTCCGTGTTATTTCCATTAAAAGATTTTCCTTTTAACAAGCATGACGGCTTTGAAAAACCATTTATCGCAGTCGCTTGTTACAGGACACCTCAATTAATAATGCATCTGTGGCTAGGTGAAAATTTAAATTCACTGATTTATTTATTGTTTCTACCATACTAGGGAATAGATAAATGTACTGTTGTTTACTCTTCAGCGTTCTCTTTGAGTCATTTTTTTACATTTGTTTCTGTTTTTACTGCTTTCTGACTACGTTAATTAATGTATCTGATGAAAGGTTTATCATCTTGGTTCTTTGACAGCCTGCTGTTTATAAATTCGATTACAGCACTAAGCTTTGTTGCTTTTGGATTCCAGTCTAGTTGTATGGTTTTCAGTGTATGCTCTATGGAAAGATGAGCAGAACTAAAAACGTTTTTGGGAAATACAGCTGTTGTCTCTTGGGCATAACTGGTGTTCTCCTGGTTAACCAGGATGCTACAGGGTAAATTGGTGACTGTTGTCACAGCAGTCTTTGTTTTTCTAAGTTTTCCCAGAAGGGCGGGATTATGGACTGTAGAGTTCCACTAGATCCACTCCACTGCATCAAGGCTATGGTGTCAAAAGAAAAGGCTTTCCCAGGCTCCCCTGCAAACAAAGTAATCTGATACCCATTCATCAAGTTGGTACAGCACTCAGAGGCTTTGATTGTTGGGTTCATACAACTCTTAGAGGTGAATTTTATCAAAATCTGGAGAAGTTGCCCAAGACAACCAATCGCCTATCTTTTTCATTTTCAAAGCTTAACTGTTCAAGCTGAAGAGAGCAGCTGATTGGTTACTATGCTCCGGATTCTGTTTGCTCCCGTTTTTCATAAAATCCCATCATGGAGCTCTGTAATGTTCTACAACACTATTTGTAATAAAGTTTTTGAGAACTTCATAGACGTGTGGATATCAGGTTACATTTTATTTAGTCTATTTTTAATTTTAAAGCTCCAGAATCATTGGAATGTCCGAAATGTACACTCTTTACAGCATATATGATTTGTTTACACTGGTGCTACTCCCTGCTTTCTTTAAATATATTAATAACCTTTCAATGTTGCATAGGAGAAGCAAGAATGGTGGTGGATTTACATTGCAGACAGAAAAGACCAGACGTTAATATCTATGCCGTATCATATTTGTACACTTAAGGATCAAGAAGAGGTGAGTAAGCTGTTCTACGGTATTTTTTCATTTGGAAGACCATGGAACACACTTCTTAGTAAAACAAAACTATCTGGCTCCAAAATTGATATAAAATATATTTTAGCTACATAACCCATTTTGTAATATTATGGTGTTCTGAATTATGTTACAATTTCACTTGGCAGCCAGGTGTAACTTTCTAAACCTGACAAAGGAAATATGCCACCCCTGCAGTCTGGTCAGCATCGGGAGTATTCTGTACACTGTAAACTGTTTCAGTTTGGCACTCATTCGTAATTGCAAGTGCAATTGTATGTGCCATTTTTCCCCAGGTGCTTACACTTTACACCTACATGCAGTTTTTTTTCTAGAGAACGAAATGATTTAATAATTTAGTGTATTCTATTACTCTCTTAGAAGGTACACATTACTTTGATATATTTGCAGTGTTTGATAAATCAAGTGCTACTTGTATTTGATGTTTTTTTTATGTGTATGAGACTAAAAGCTCATAAGAAGTTTAGTGTGTTGAATGTATCGTTTTCTCTAAGAAATATAAGGAACTATTGTATGTTAGTACATTTGGTCACAACTAAAAATCTATAAAAAATACATTGAAAATACACATTTAATGAGATTGACCGATATCTTGTGGAAATTACATGCTGGGTGCCATACTGTGGTATCAGAAGGATGTGACTATCAATGTAAACAATGTTCATGCATTCCAAAAATGTCTGTGTGTACATAGCCTTTTGTCATCTGCCTGTGCTATAACAGGCTTGCCAAAGGCTTCCTACATTGCATTTTTGTGAGGTTACTGACAGGACGCTGGATGTGTATTGGAAATATTGTCTCCTGTATAAATACACAACAATCGGCCATAACATTGTGACCACCCTCCTGATATTGATTTCTGAAGGTATGCTGTGGTATCTGTCACCAAGCCATCAGTAGCAGATCCTTTAAGTCCTGTAAGTTGCTTGTTTTTCCAGCACAACCCACAGATGGTTGATTGGATTAAAATCCGGAGAATTTGGAGGCTAAGTCAACACCTCAAACTTGTTGCTGTGTTCCTCAAACCATTCTTGAACCATTTTTGCAGTGTAGCAGGGTGCATTATCCTGCTGAAAGAGGCCATTGCCACAAAGGAATACCATTTCCATGAAGGGGGTACTTAGTCAGCAACAGTGTTCAGGTAGGTGGTACGTGTAAAAGTAACATCCACATGAATGACAGGCCCCAAGGTTTCTTAGCAGAACATTGCCAAATGCATCACACTGCCTCTGCCTGCTTTCTTTCTTCCCAAACTACATCCCTGGTGCCATCTCTTTCCCAGGTACATGGCCATCCACATGATGTAAAAGGATACTTGATTCATCAGACCAGGCCACCTTCTTCCCTTGCTGTGTTGTTCAGTCCTGATGCCCACACGCCAATTTTAGGTGCTTTTGACACACGTCAGCATGGGCACCCTGACAGGTCTGAGGCTTCCCAGCCCCATATGCAACAAACTATGATGCACTGTGTGTTCAGACACCTTTCAATCAGAACAAGCATTAATATAGTCTGCAATTTGGGCTACAGTAGTCCTTCTATTGGATCGGACTACATGGGTCAGCCTTCGCTTCCCACACACATTAGTGAACCCTGGCTGCGCATGGCTCAGTAGCTGGTTCACTGGTTTTCCTTGTTTGGACCACTTTTGGTAGGTCCAGATGGCTGCAGACCAGGAACATCCCACAAGAGCTGCAGTTTTGGAGTTGCTCTGGCCCAGTTTTTTAGCCATCACAATTTGGTACTTGTCAAAGTCACTCATGTCCTTATGCATGCCCATTTTTTCTGCTTCCAACACATCAACTTCAGGGACAAAATGTTCACTTGCTGTCTAATATATCCTACTTATTTCCAGGTTAAAATGTTATGGCTGATCGGTGTTATGTGCACATCTGTAGTCGCTTAAAGGAGAAGTATGAGTGATTTCCACTCCCCTCATAGTTCTAGCCGACCTGTGACAATGAGACTGTCACAGGTCGGCTCAGTAGATCGGGAGGTGAGCGAACACATACCGGGTTCGCTCACCTCTCGATCCTGTCACGGCTCTCTGCCTTGACAGGGGGAGGGCTGGATTCCCCGCTCCGATCTGCCTGCGCTGACTGGCGGAACGGACGGGGAGGGGGCGGGTACAGCTGGCTCTGCCTCTAGTTGGGCAGAGCCAGCTGTCACTCACGCAGCTGGGTGGATCTCGACGTCGATGTCGGGATCCGCTCCGGCTTCGGCGTCTCAGTATACCGCAAGCTGTAGCTCGCGGTATACTGAGCTTAGGGTAACTGGAGGACGCTAGTTTGTGTCCTCCCGTTACCCTAAGGAGAACTATGGGGAAAAACACTGACCCCATAGTTCTTTAATTGATTTCAGTATAAATATTTTTTTTCAAACCTAGTCCTAAATCTTTTACTTTTGTTTTTCCTGTCATCTGAAGATCCTACACTTAGTTCTCCTTCAAATTGAATTAGTGGTGTATTTAAAGGGCAGATCGTGACTACTGGGTTCTGCTTTAGTAAGAATGTATTTGCTGTAGCAGTGAGGACAGTGTAGGATCCTTAGCTGAAATATCTAGCTGGTTGATGTCTGAAGATGAGCAAAATACCAGCTTTTTAAATCTCTAAACGTTTTGTTTAAAATTACATTTTATGTTTGAGTCTGTGTAATTTTAGTTTCCCCTTAATGAACAATTTTTGGGCATGTACACTGTGGAGCAGCCTTTCTCAACCTTTTTTTGCTGGAAGAAACGTAAAATAATTTTCAAGTGTTGGGAAATCACTGCTAAAAAATTAGGTATCCATCTCATGGTACTTTAGTGCGATCAGTAGGTTGTAGATATGGTATCAATGGCTACCTAACAGAGATTAGAGGAAAGGCTCTACTGGTCCTATGGCTTCAGTCAGGCAGGAAATCAGTCCACCACTACTCCATTTCTCAGAACTTCTCGCAAGCTCTGGCGGAATCCTAGTCTTTCATGGCAACTTGATCAAAAAAGGCTGCCATAGTGTTTCATGGAAATTGGCTTTACATACATAATCCCATCTTTACCTTTTTGATAGAAGTACAAAAAAATCTAAATCAGTCTATATTATATGCTTAATTTATTTTGCAGGTCGAGCTTAAATTCCCAGCACCAAGTAAACCTGGAAATTATCAATACACCATGTTTTTAAGGTCAGATTCTTACATGGGTTTGGATCAGATCAAACCTTTGAAGGTAAAGCAGTCTTTTTTGTAATTTAAAATATTGCTTATGTTAACTCATATTTTCTCAACAGATTGCACAGATGCACCTTAAATGTTTAGTTATAACTATACGATATTATGTGGTGCTGCTATTTTTAATACTGTTTGCGGCTCATTTATGCTTCTTTGGGCCTAAGCTTTGGGATTTTACCTTGCTTTTACCTTGCATATGACCACCCTGCCCACGAGCCTGCTTTATGACATTTCCTAACAAATAGCACAGAGTTCTCTCATTTAGCATTGTATTGAGCTTAACCGTCTGTTAATTTTTATAGCTGGAAGTTCATGAAGCTAAACCAATACCAGAAAACCATCCACAATGGGATACTACTATAGAAGGTGATGATGACCAAGGAGACAGTGAAGGTTTTGAAGAAAGCTATGAAGAAGAAGAGGAAGACGAGGAGGAGGATTAAACTAAGAAGGCAAAAAAGGACTTCTCAGATTTGCACATGGTCATCTGATATCATCGGATATTGCAGCTATTCCATTCACCAGAACCACAGCCTAGAAGTTTTTGAGGAAGTCTGCTTTAGTTAGTGTTTTGTATTGTTTGGCTTTATTCAAACAGACCCTTGCTCTCGGCAAAGGCCTAATGCATTTCTAAAGCCATTCAGTGCACTTGGCTCATCTAAAAGCATATTTTTGTTCAATCACAATGTCTGCGGTCAAAAAGTGCCCATCTTTGCACTTCAAGAGATCTTTTATAGCAGAAAATATCTCCTGCATTTAATCCAGAGCTTGGTTAAATTTGATAGATCCATTTCAGTTGAGGTTTTATCCTCCGTCCTTTTAGACCTATTTCGTTATTTTAAATGGTGAAACATTCCACCAGAAATTTATATTGCCAGGGTGTTTATATACTATATAACACTAATACAAAGTTTGAGAACATTTTTCTTTTTGAGAAATCTTTTTAGCAGATAAAATATTCATCATTACCACTAGCAAGTCAATGCAAATAGGGATTTGGTAAAGAAGTGGCTGTGCAGGTAATGGGACCACAAGTGGCCGGAATGTTTGTGGTCTTGATACAAAGATACTTTTTTATTAGTGAAAACTAAGTGAGAGGCTAAATACTTCTGGAAAGTGTTATCGATGGGATAAGATATGGATCTGTGGCTGTAAACAGAAAAGACACACCAGCCTTCATTATGGGTGATATTTTTAAAATGATATATAAAAGAAAAAAAAAAAAACAATTACTTAATGGATTCTTAGTCTTCGGATCAGTGCCAAGCTCCTCTCTGTCTGTCCTGATGCTGTGACATCTACATCTGGAACATTTGTGCAGTTTTGTTTTCTGTGTAGGTTCACTTGGCTTTCTACAGAAATTTTAAGAGCCGGCTACACAGACATGGTTAGCTTGTATAATAATCAATAAACCAGTACACCATTGATGACTGTTTTGCATTTGTAATAGTGTGTACCTCTTTTGGCCTCCCATTGAGGGAATAATTTTCTAAATATTTGCTATTAAAGTGTATATAAATAGCATTTCAGGTGGTCTGTGATCCTGTATAACATACCTGTTACTCTGAGACCGGTCTTTCATATTGCTGAAATGGGAATTATTCAGTTAAGTCAACGGTTATCTTAGAAGAAACATTGTATTGTTCCTGTGTTGCACACATCTATGGAACTTTGCAAATCACTCTACGTGCACTTTTTGCCTTCTTAATTTTTGTGGGCCTCTCGGTTTAGAAAAAAAAATGCCATGTTTTTGAAAATGGGTTGTCACTTTAAATGCAAACCAGCATTGCGAAAGTCCTTGTAATGCAATAGTTGTGAATAAAATTCAGAGGTTAACTGGTACTTGTTTGTTATTATTAATGCCAGAGGAGGATTTTCAAGGTAGGTGCAGTAGGCTTCAATTGCCTATTCAGTGAAAATAATGGCTGCTTCTTGTTGGTTAAAGGTTTTGTGACATTTTTCTATTCAGTGGGCCCCTTGTGGTATTATGTAAAAAGAAAGACATACCGGTACATATGCAAGTTACAAAACCGTTTTTAGGTCTGCAACATTTTTTCCTACTTAAAGCTGTCACACATCTTAGGCATGGGCACAGGCAAATCTTAACTGGTGCAATGCTGTTTTTGCCTGCAAATGGGACCAAAGAAGCAAACTGCTGGCTATAATTTTAAAAGACCATTAGCTGGCACCCACATGGCTAAAGTAAACATGTACTTCATATTAACCTTTTAAAGAAACCTGTACTGAGTAAAATATGGAGAATACCATTGTTGACTGAATGCTAGTTGCCTGGGTGTTTCTGGTTTAACTACTTGGATTTGCTGATCTGGAATAAAGTTGTAGGTAAAAGCTGAACTCCAGGCAAGTGGCAAAATACACAGATAAAATATACGGGAGCTTTTTTTTTACCTGCCCAAGAATGTATATTTCTGTCCATCCAATACTGAGGTGTACACAGCCTCCTCACATAGCACAGACAGGGGGATTATACCACGGACAGTTAAAGGATACTGTCGTCAATTTACCTATTGTTTTGACTGGACAGTGAAAGAGCAGCTATATACAAATGAAGCCATCACTCTGCTTTCTCCTCTATCAGCCTGTTTTTGTTCAAGGCATTTAAATGCAGCACACTCAGTTGTGAGCGCTGATGTACAGAGGATTGCAAGGAGCCTATTAAAAGTTCAAATTCAAGTACTATAGTTGCAATCTAATAATATACACTTAATAATGAATGCCGAGGTGTATTCTTTGGAACTCCTTACTCCAACCTGTCCGTCTATCTCCTACTCTGACTGCCTTTAGACGATTTACTAAAGACATGTCTTCAGGGAAGCCTATCCCACCTCAAACTAACCACTGAACTATCTTTCTCAAACAGTTCATCCCAACACAGCTACCTTCTCATGTATCACTTGCCCCTACCTCCCTCCCTCTTATATTGTTAGCGCTCACGGGCAGGGCCCTCCCTAACATCTTGTCTTGAATTGCCTTGTAATTGTAATGTCTTACCTATATTGTAATGCGCTGCACAAACTTTTGGCGCTATATAAATCCTGTATAATTCATTTGTGTCTAGATTATATAAGCCTATAGTTCAAGTTTTAAAAGTCAAGAGTGAAGTCAAAAGTGATTATCTGAATTGGAGCAGCAGGCAGGCAACTTACACCTTCCTTTAAAGTGTTAGGGGTTCTATACCTTCTTCTAATTACAGTCTCTTAACTAATTGCCCGATATGTGTCCATACCCCTTTCACCAGACTGTCGAAATCATCATCAGCAATTCTGTAAGGTACTTAGTATGACTTCCATAGAGGTCTACAACCTGATTTTCATAGTCCTAGATTATGGGACACAGGATAGTACTTCAGGAACCTTGGGTTATGCTGCTGCTTTTAGGAGATTGGACACTGGCAAACAAGAGTTATCTGACACTGTCTCGGGATGCTGTCCATGGCCTGACTGGAGGATGGAGTATGTCACTTACGGTAGAGAAAACACTTCCAGGTGCCGGAGGCCCGTGTGTTCTAGGCCTCGTTTGCAGGGAAGGGGAGGACCCTGGCTGGTATTTTCAGGCATTTCCGCGAGGATGCAGGATTGGAAGAGCACACTGAAGCATGGACTCTTCTCGCAGTCGCAGGTTCCGGTTGATGCAGCCACAACACAGCTACCAGCCCTGCTCAGGTAAAGAGCTCCGTTTGTTATTAGCTCTATTTTCCTGATGCTCTGACCTCCTGCTTGTTTCCCCTGGGGCCTCTTGGTGAAGCGCTTAGTGTGTACTGGGGTTTGTATCCCTCCTCCCAAGAGTGTTATTTGATCCTGAGTCTTTCTTACAGACCAAGACTCCTAAGTCCATGAGTGCTCCTAGGAAGAAGTGGGTTTGTATGTGGTTCTAAGCCTAACCCTGCCTATCCCAAGCCTCTTTTCCAAGCATGTATCGGTGGGCTTCTTAAAGACAAATCCGCTTCTGCTTGTAGCAGCCTCTTGTCTTCTGTCACAGGAAGTAGGATCCACATTTCACTTTTTCAGATACTCGGGTATGCAGGCTCCAACCTTAACCCCCTACTGTGCCTGGCCCCTCTACCTTACCTTGGTCGGTAACTGAGGGGCTTTATTTGAAATCATCTGAGCCTGAGGACCCGGCAGTTTTGGACTCCTCTCGGGCGGTTTTGTCTTCAGAGGACGATCGTGGAAGGTAGGATTCTTCCAGGGTTTCTAAGTTTAAACTGTCTCTGGAGGACATTGATGATTTGCTGTAAGCAATTTATGAGACGCTGGAAATTCAGGAAGAAAAAGTCCAACTTTCTAGGCATGATCTTTTGTACCATGGTTTACAGAAGAAAAGGGCCAGAGTTTTTCAGGCGCATAAGATTACTCTCTGTTGCTATACTTAAGGGTTGAATAGAGCCAAAGAAAAAGCCTTTCTTGTTAAGCAACCTTAAACGTAGATTTCCATTTGATGATCCAGCAACAACTTGGAACATGACTCATAAGCTAGATGGCCCGCTTGCTAAAGTCTCTAAAAAGTCTGAGTTAGCTTTTGAGGCTATGGGAAGTCTCAAAGATCCTATGGCTAAAAAAAAAAAAGAACATGCTTCTTATAAGGGCTTGGAATTCTGCACTTTCTAATTTAAAGGCAGCCTTAGAGACTACATGTGTGGCTTGAAATCTGGAGTGCTGGTTTTCTTACATAAAGGCTCGTCTAGTAGCAGGCATCCCTAGAGAGCAATTATTAGTTTCTCTCCCTTTGCTGTTTTTAAAGCAGTTGGGTTTATCGCAGATTGTTCTGCTGAGTCTGTTAGAATGTCTGCTAGATCTTGAACTCTTCCAAATTCTTCTCATCACCCTACTCCCTGTGGGTGGGGAAGGTTAGGTGGGTGCCTCCCACAATGGAGTATTTCCTCCAATGCGTTCATCCTGAGGCTTATAGAAGAGGAAAATAGGCTGGAATTCGACAATGTCCATTCAGAGCTTTTTGCCTTCTGTTAGATCCTGTGGACCAAAAGGGTATGGTTCCAGTTCCAGAGGGGGAGCATGACAAAGGTTTTTACACTCCCGTTTTTCTAGTATAAAAGCCTTCAGGGAAGTTTCGCCTTATCCTAAATTTAAGGCCTCTAAATGCACCCATCGGATACAAGAAGTTTCAAGATGGATTCCATTTTTTCAGTCAGGACTATTCTTAAACCAATTCCTTTTTGGCAACCCTGGACTTAAAGGACACGTACTTGCACATTCCGATCACAGCATCTTCGCTTAGCAGTCAGGTTAAGTTGAAGGTTCACCACTTTCAGTTCAGGGCGCTCCCCTGCGGCCTATCCTCAACACTTTGGATTTTTTCATATTTTCTTTGTTCAGCCTGTGTATGGCCAGGTTTACTACAGAGCTGATAATGCCTTATACACATGGGTGCAAATACAGGAGTATAAGCATACAGCATAGCATATTGATAAGGGAAAGGTTTCTGGGGAAAGCTTTAACACTATTGAGGCTTTGATGGCTCAAAAGCATGCCATACTTGGACGATATTCTCCTTTTTATGGCACCCTCTGCCGCTCAGTTGGATATCACTCAAAGGTGGTTAGTAAGCCTGGGCTGGTTGATAAATGCTCAAAAATCAATCCAACCCCCTCCAGGGTTATGACCTTTTTGGGATACATTCTGCACAACATACAAAGATCTTCCAGAGGAGAAGATTTTCGAAAGTTTGCTACAGTGTCAGCCAGGGGAACTAGCCAGTCTCTGGAAGATTCATTCTCAGTTCTGGGACTAATGACTTCTTGTTTTCCAGCTGTTCATGGGCCCGTTTTCACCAGAGACCCCCTCCTGCTATCTGTGATTGTGTTCTCGAGGGATTGGACTCTATGGTCAGCCTACCTTCCAAGGTAAAGCAGAGACTAAGGTGGTGGAGGAACCACAGTCACTTGTTGGTGGCCTACTTTGGATGTTTCAGGTGTCTTTAGTTGTGACCACAGGTGCCAGCACCTGGGAATAGGGCTCTCTTCTGCATGGCCAGTTAACTCGGGGGTCAGTGGACACAGCAGGAGTCAAGAGTATTGTCCAGTTGGAGGGAGCTCAAGGAGGTGTGTTATTCCTTTTGTGCCTTTTCAGGGCAGAGTCAGAGGTCTACATCTTCAGATTCAGACAACGCTACTACACCAGCTTACATCAACCAATGGGGGGCGGGGGTGACGGACCAGGAGTCCTCGGCTTCAGGCAGCAGCCGGGGAAATTTTTTTTCCTAGGCAGTAATTAATCTAGCCTCATTGACAGCGGAACATCTCAAAGGCACTCTGAACAATCTTGTGGATTTTCTCATTTGGCAATGGATTCTCCAAGAAGAATCGTGCCTGAATCCGGATCTCTCCTGGTCAAAAGGTGGGGGAAACCGGAGGTAGAGCTATTCGCATCCCAAAAGAATGCACAGGCTAGCCTGTTTTTTGTTTTGTTTTGTTTGGTTTTTTTCTCCATGAATCAAGCAGACTCGGCCTGAGGCCCTGGACGCTCTTACAAATACATGGCATTTTT